TTTTTTTTTTAAAGTAGAGAGCTAGAGAGAGAGAGAAAGAGAGAATCCCACCCAGGGTCTGCACTCTCAGCGTTGAGCCCGATGCAGGGCTTGAACCCATGAACTGGGGGATCATGACCTGAGCTGAAACCAAGATTGGATGGTTAACTGACTGAGCCACCCAAGCGCCCCCCTCTCTTTTTTAAATATTTGAGAGAGAGAGAGCAGGGGAAAGCTTTTGCCCTATTCCTAAATTCTCATGATTCCACAGAAATGTGTCTGGATAATTTCTCTTTTCTTTTTTAGCATTTAAATACAGTCAGTCTTCATTATTTGTGGACTCCTTATTTGGGAATACATGTACTCACTAAAATGCATTTGTAACCCAAATTAAAACTCACAGAGCTTTCCTAGTCATTCACAGATATGCCACAGAGTGGCAAAAAGTATGAATCACCTGACATGCATGTTTCCAGGTGAGAACTGAAAAAGGTGATGCTTTGCCTCTTATTTCAGCTCTCATACTATAAACAAATGTCCTTTTCACAGTCTCTTTGGTGCCATGCTTTTCACATTTTTGTGCTTTGTTGACTTCATTGTTAAAAATGACCCCATGCCTACTTTTGAAGTGCTGTCTAGTGTTCCTAATTGCAGGAAGCCTGTGATATACCTTATGGAATTAATACATGTATTGGATAGGTTTCATTCAGGCATGAGTTATAGTGCTGTTGGCCATGAGTTCAACATTAATGAATCAAGTATATAAATTAAATAAGGTGCTTCTGATAGACACACACATAAAACAAGGTTATGTATTGATCATCTGGCAAAAATATTGTGACCAGAGTAAGAACTTACCCAGTATTTCCCCTAGGAACAATGTTTCAGTATTTGCCAATTCAAAGTTTGTGGCAACTTTACAGAGCATAATGACTGTGAATAATGAGAACTGATTGAGTAATATATGTGTCTTAATAAAAGATAACATTCAGAAAAACCTACAAAATTCTGTTAACACTGTTAAGAGTAGAAAAAAAAACTAAAAATCCACATTAAGTATAATTTTTTTCTTTTTTTTAAGTTTACTTATTTATTTTGAGAGAGCACAAATGGGGAGGGGTAGAGAGAGGGAGAGGGAGAGAGAATCCCAAGCAGGTTCCTCTGCACTGTCAGTGGGGAGTCTGATGCAGGGCTCAAATTCATGAGCCTTGAGATTATGACCTGAGCTGAAATCAAGTCACAAGCCTAACCGACTGAGCCAGATGGGCACCCCCATATTAAATATAATTTTTTCACAGAATTATACCTTTAATGCTAGTGGTGTATTTAATTCATAAGAAGCTCATTTGCGGGGCGCCTGGGTGGCTCAGTCAGTTGAGCATCCAACTTGCACTCAGGTCATGATCTTGCAGTTCATAAGTTCAAACCCTGCATCAGGCTCTGTGCTGACAGCTCAAAGCCTGGAGCCTGCTTCAGATTCTGTGTCTCCCTCTCTCTGCCCCTTCCCTGCTCAGGCTCTGTCTCTCCCTGTCTCTCAAAAATGAATAAATGTTAAAAAAATTAAAAAAAAAAAAAAGAAGCTCATTTG